ATGTTGTGTGTTTTGGTGGTACTATGAGTTGTATTTAATTGGCTATCTGTAGGCGTGCAGCTATTGTTGATTTGCATACAAAAAAAAAAAAAAAAAAATTTAAAAAAAGTTAAATAAAAAATAAAAACACCGTAATATACTTAATTTTAGGTGAAAAAATTTCGTTATTTATAGTAATTAATAAAAATCGTTTATTTTTTCATGTTTTCGTGCTTTGCTTTTTTTTTGGGTTTACCAAATAGAGTAACGCTTACAAAAGGAAAAAAGTTAATTCATCGTGCAAGTAAAAATAAACTATTATTATAATAATAGTAAAAAAAACTTAAAATAGTACAAAAATTATTTGAAAAAATAAATATGTGAAAAAAGTACCATTCGACGTATTAGAGCTTTTGGAACCAAAAACTTAGCGATTTATAAACGCTGGAGCAACTTACAAATATATTACCTTATTATTATTTATTCAATATAAATGTAATCATCAACTTATTTATATGAAGTAAAAATCACTCACGCATACAAAACTAATTTTAATTATAATAGTAAAAAAAATTAATTAATAAAAATTGCTTAATTTTTTTTTCGGAAATTAACAAAATTTATTTAATTATTTATAATTTAATTTCCTTAACTTTTGCCTGCAACTTAGCATTTTATTTACAATTATCATTTATAAAAAAATATTACAGTAAAAAATAAGTTATAATAATATTATAAATATAAAAAAAAAACTTTACTAAATATGCGAAAAATTCGTTGGGTTCTTTAAAGAAAATTTCTGCTTTTTTCATATGAATGCACAAAATTTTGTAGTAGACATAATATAACTACAGGCACAACAACATTTGATTTTATTTGGAAAATTCGTGCGTTTTTTTTTTTTTTTTTGAAAATATACATACATATTTAGGGTGTTTGGAATTTTATGAATTTCTTGTGATGCGCATTTTAACTATAAATCGAAAAAAAGTCTATAAATAATACATTTTCATCACCATAAGTATGTATGTAGTACAAATGGTGAGCAAATTTTGTCGAAAAGACACTATTTTGTTGGTAGCAGTTTGCAATAAAATAATATGTTTGAGCGAGATCTAAATTAATTTTTTTTTTTTTAAAAACACTCTAACTTATTTCAACACTTTTGCCGTTCTTATATTAATATGAGAAAATCCACTAAAAGTTCGCGAAAATATGTTGAAAGTGAAACTAGAAAGAATTATTTTCGTCGTCATGCACCTAAAATTATGCTACATCTGTATTTTACCTTTGCTGAATTCTCTATAGACCAACCAAAAATTTTTTTTTATTATTTAAAATGGTAACAGTTGTCTGAAAGGACAGGTAAGTTAGTAATTTAATTTTATTTATATTGTTTATATTATATTTCTATTTCGATTGCAATACATACAAGAGGTCAAGACTATGTTGGCATATTTCCAACTAGTTCGAGCATTTGGGCAACGAGTACTACTCGACCACCTTCTCAGTAAACTTTACTCGCGTATTTACGAGAACGAGCTTTCCGAGCTTTTTCGAATATTTTGAATAGAAACATTTGGGTTATTTTTTTTACTTTTATATTTTACCTTTTATATTTTTTCATTTTCTTTAAGAAAAGTGTGATATCTAAACTTTTTATTAAATTCTTTTTTTGGTTTTATCAAAGTTCAAAAGCTTGAAAATTATAAACAAACACTTCAGCAGTTGGGGCGTTGAACTGGAAGTCTAAAACATACATACATACGTTATGCTTTAAAGGTGAATAAAAAAAAAATTAAAAACTAAATAATGGAACCAAAAAGTAATAAAAATGGAAACAAAAGAAAATTAATTTAAAAAAAAATTTAAAATATCTGCAAATGTAAAGTGAATTAACAAGAAATGAAAAATAAATTATATAATTTTCACATAAAATACTTTTAATTTAAAAATTTTTCAGCAAACACAGTAATTACTTGACTTCTCGGTAATGCGTAAATTGATTTTTTTGGAAATTAATTTTCGTTTTTGCTCTCTCAACAAACACATACGCGTGTACATATATAAATAACTCTTTTCCTAAAAAATTTTAATGACAAGTTTTGTCTTTTTGAGAAGCACAAATACATATATGTATATAATTACATAGAGTATATTTGTAGAAATTTTGAAAAATATGCTAGTGAATATGCAGTTTTTCAAAGTCCGTAATTTGATTTAATTTTTCATTTTTAATGCTGAAATAATAAAAATGTAAGGTTTCACAGAGAAAGTGTTTTCCTTTTATATGTATTGATCATGCCAATCACAGATGGTGTTTATATGTATGTATGTTCATGTGAGCTCATTTTCACTAAACATTTGTTTGTACATATACATACACACGTGAGTACAAAACTTTTGGCATGCTTGCATTAAATCAAAAATAAAGAGAAAGAATAAAGAGGAAATGAGCTGTTTTCATTCTCCAAGAAATTCAATAATTTCTAAATTAAAATAATACATTTTCAGAAAGAAATATGTTCATCAAATTCGTTTACTAAAAGCGAGCACTTCAAGCACATTAAACGTAGCAATAAAGGAAAAGTTAATAAAAATATAATTTAATTAATTTTAGGTCTTATGAAAATCTTCAAGAAAGAAATTTTAAACTTAATTGGCAATTTTAAATAATAAACTAACTGCAGAAATAACGACATAAAATTTTGAATATGAGATTTAGAAAATTTACCAAAAACAGGAATTTATAAAAAAAAAAAAATATGTTCAGAAAAACTATGCATTAAATAAATTCAGAAAAAGGCCTAGGAATAGAGAGAAAAATAACTTTGGAATTTTACCAAAAGTATTTCTTTATAAAAGAAATAAAAATATTAAAGGGGCACACCTAGTGTGAAATTTCAAAAAAATCGATCTTTTTTCATATTTCGGTAGATTACACCTTTAAAAATAACATATTAAAATTTCAAATCGATCTCGCAAGTAGTTTTTGAGTTATAGCAATTTAAAGAGCAGCCGCTCGGCATCTAGAGAGTCTCATTAACTACGAGTGAAAACGACCATTTTATATTTAAACGCGTTTTTCTCGAAACAGCATTTTCCGAATATGCTGCAGTGATTACTCAAAACAAAAAGATCCGATCACTATCGTAGATCATTGTGCAGACAATATTAAGTTGTCGATAATTTTTTTTTAAATTTCATCTACGGAGAAGGCCGGAATCACTGCAGCAATGAAGGAACTTTTATTCACATCGTTGGAGATCGACTATAACTTAAAAAATATTTAATTTTTTTCTTCAAAACTTTCACTGTATATTCTTGAAACATGTATAAATCTATTCTTAAAATTTTGAAATAATTGTTAAAGTAATTTTTTTATCAAAATTCCCAAAAGTCACCTTTTTTAGGCCATTACACTGGGTATACCCCTGAAAGTAAATGTCAATATAAACCATTAAAAATATTTTAATAGTATTAATAACGTTAACAACATTATTGAAATTAAATTTTGCTACACAAATTTAAAAAGGGAAACGAGATCTAAATAATTAATAAAAAAAAAAATTTTAAAATAAAAATACTCAAAAAGTATTTAATAAAAATAGATTGAAAACTAAAAATCAAATAATCTTTTTTGTCAAACTAAATTCAAAAACAAGTATTTATTAACAAAAAATAATTTAATTAATTTTATGATTTTTCAAAAATTGTGTTAAGCTAATTAAATGTCTTGTAGTTGAAATTTACATGGAAAATTTAGAAACCTGCAATATGAAAGCGATATGATTTCAGAAAAATTCAGGCGTATAAAAAAGGGGTGGGGAAAAAATTGCGTTGGTTGCAGGCTTTTAAAAATTTTCAGGAAAGGAAAAAAATATCAATTATAAAAAAGAAACGAATATTTTTTTATATATTTAGAAAATGGTATTAATAAATTATTATTTTTTTTTTAAATAAATTTTTAAAAATATAAGTATAAGTAAAAACTGTATTTAAATGAGTTGTTAAATTTTAGCAATATTTCTTTTTACTTTTACAACAAAATATAATATTATAAAACTATATATATATATATATATAACAAAAGAATTTTGATTTCAAAATATAAGTTTTGCAAAGCAAACTAAGAGAAGCATAAAGATATGCATATAAATACAGGCAATAGAAAATTTAAGAAGTAAAAAAGAAAAAGAAAATAATTTAAGAAAAATTTAATGTTTTTATATTTATACTTTTTGGACTTTTGACTTCATTTAAAATAAGAAGATTATTATCTCATTAAAATTTTTCAGCTCAATTTTTATTTATCTTGCTTTTGTTTTTCCCCTCTGAATATTTTTAAAAGTTTTGCAACCAATGCTATTCCACCTTCTTTCACTATTTAATGCGATTGAACTTGATTTTCGATATCATATTGCTCTTATAAGACAAATTTCATATTTTTACAATTATTTTTAATTAACAAAATTTTCTTATTTGTTGTTGTTGTGTTTTTTGCATTCACTGTGAATTTTTTTTAATTTTCATCTCCTCTCCGAAAATACTTTAAAATAGGAGATTTAGTAAAAAAATTGAAATGAATATTGAATTATTTAAAAACAGTTGGATTTGTGCAAAAATAAATAAATTTTTGGCAACAAAACTTGTAATGCATATAAAAGAAAAAACTAATATTACTGAAGGATATATTAGTATTAACATTTGTTTTAACGTCTGCACATAGAGAACAATATTCCAAAGTTTGTCAAGGTAATTTCGAAAAAGTTTATAATTTTTCCTTTTTTATTTTTTTTTGGAAATTTTCAAATGTTGACTTTAACAAAAAAATTAAATTAAATGAGATCACTTGCATTTACAGTTGCATTAAAAAAAATTTAGTGCTATATTTTAAACTATTTTGATAAACTTGCCATTAAAAAAAATATTCAAAATAACAAAAGGCAAATAAAGTAAATTTTAAAAATAAAATTAGAATTATATTAAACTAAGAAAAAATCATAAAATATTTTCAATTTGGTAAATTATAACAAATAATTAGCGAAGTAGCAAAATATGAACTTGTATGTATGTATGTCGAGCACTAAGTAAATTTTGCTGCCGCTTGTATTGCGTTATATATGTAGCTAACTGGTCTGTATGTTGCATGTACGCAGTTGTATGTACGTGTATCTGTTATATACAAATCAATAATACTTTCTGTTATTATGTTTACATGTACATATATTTGCTTGCATATGAGAATTTTATTAATTTCTTGCAATAATTTCATACAAACTTTTCGAGCTCCCTCGATTTCGTCATTTTGTGTCATTTAATTATTAATTTTTTGTATTCATAATTAGTTAAAAAAAATTTAATTTTTATGTACAATCTTTTATAAGTGTCATATCATCTATAGAATTCAGCAAAATTTACTTGCATACATATTAATAAATTATGCAATTGTGTTTATTTGTTTATTTACATAAATAAACTATTTTTTAATTTGTTTTTATTTTTATATTTATTTCTATTTTTTTATTTTTTTTATTTTTTTACAATAAAAGCTGTTCTACATATATGAATGCGGCGAATTTGTAAAGGCGTTTGCATAAACTAAAATATTTAAAAAAAAATTTATTTAAAAATATTAGAAATTTAGGCGCTAAATTTACTTTATCTACAAATATTTATGCTATACTCCCACCCCACATATCTATGAATGTTTGTCTGTAATTACATACATTAATCTTTGTAGTAGTTAACACACGTATGTACATATGTATGTACCTAATAGTCTGTTTACTTGAAAATTTTATATAAATATTTAACGCTTTTCTGCTTTTAACCCAACAATCACTTGCTTATATGCCGTTCTTTCAGCTTTATTCTCTATTTCATCGTATATTTATAAATATTTTTTTATTTATTTATTTTTTTTCTACTAATTATACCTATGCCCATACATATGTATGTACTAGCAATAAAATATGTACTTATTGTATGCTTAGTTCAACACTTATGTACTTATCTACTTACATACATACATCACTGCTTCTTCTTACACCTAAAACAACTGCTTCTTCATAACTTTTACACATTTCGTCTATAAATTGATAATTTCGCTTAAAATACTACCAAAGTTAAACTTTACTAAAACTATGTATGTATGCATGTAGATCTTAATTTTCGTTTTAATTTTCATTTTTGTTTTTCGTTTTATCTCTAATTAATTTTTTTTTACAAATATATAAATATATGTATAGTATATGCCTAGCTAACAATGTACATAATGATACTGTACTTACATTTGTATCGTAAAAAATATGTGCAATGAAAAAAAAAATCGCATGATACATTTTTTTCAGTTTTTTTGTTAAAGTAATAAAATAAAAATATGGTAATATGTATATGGTATAAACGATAGGGAAAAATAAACATATATAATTCTATGTATGCATGAGTATGTGTATTGTATTATTGGTTCGTTGCACCAAAAAATAGTTCCAAATTTACCACCTCCTCCCGTTGGCAACACCAGTAATTTTACATTTTCTTCACACTCCACACTTCCGTTTGATGACGCTCTCTTTTCTAGTACGCTCATCTTTTCGTGAAACAAAAACTTGTTTTCTTAACTTTTGTGGGTTTTTTCTTTCTTTCTTTGTTTCCCAAATTCTTGTCCAATTAATAATTAATGTACGCTTTATGTAAAAACAAAGACGATAAGAAATAGCAAAAGAAAAAAAAGAAAAAAATACCAAAAAATGAAAGTAAAAAAGCAAACAAATAGTAGAAAAGCGCAAAAACAAAAACAAAGTTCAAAAATTGCGCATTTTAATTTCTGCTTTTAGATAGTCTTTTACTACTTTTTAAGTATGAAAAGTCCACTTAGTTACATTTTTATCGTAATTTTCTGTTTTTTTTTCATTACCGTTATTACATTTTCATGTTTTCCAAAAATATTTTTGAATTCTTCTTCTTCTTTTCTCTTTTTTTTCTTTTTGTATGTGTAATTTACTAAACTCTACATCAGTCATTTGGCACACAAGTCGTCGTCACGCGAGCGCTTAGACTACCTTTTGTGTGGGCGCGCAATTTAAGAGGTGTATTAAGTTGCTACATACATACTTCTATCTTCAGCGAAAAGTTGTGAGCCAACAAAGAATGTGATGACGCTATGTTGTTATGCAGGTAAAAAAATATTTGATAGTAATTCAATAACTCTAATTTATCACCAATTATTTAATAAAGATTTTATGAAAATTTCGTGCAAAAGCTCTACATTAGAAAAAATTTCTTAACATTGAAAAAAAAAAAATTTAAATGTTTTTTGATGATTTATTGGAAATTTTTTACTAAAAGCTCTACACTAGAAAAAATTTATTTTGATTGAAAAAAGTTGAATTTTTAGATTTATCGAAAATTATTTTGCTAAAAGCTTCACAGTAGAAAATTTTTTTTATTTTCAAAAAAGCTGAAGTTTAAGATTAATTTGAATAAAAAAAAATGAAAATTTTGATTTTTTTGAAATTATTTGCTACACAAAAAAATTTCTTTTGATTATAAAAAAAAATTTTTTTAATTTTTTCTAATTTTTTTACTAAGAGCTCTACACTGGAAAATTTTTCTTTTGATTTAAAAAAAAGATGAAATTTTAAATTTTTAATAAATTTTTTGCTTAAACTTTATACTAGAAAAGATTTGCTTTAATTTCAAAAAAATTTATATTTTAGATTTTTGAAAATTTGTTTGGTAAAGCTCTACACTAGAAAAAACTCTTCTTATTAAAAAAAATGGAATTTTAGAGCTGTGTTTAATCAAATTGATTAATTTTGATCTGAAATCTGTTAAGTTTCTATATTGAGTTCCTTTAAGCTTTTCGGTAATCATTTCAACATAATATTTTCCAAATGTACACATCGCTGCTGGCTCACTCAGCGTTAAAAGAAACACACCTCTCCATGAACTGCTGCCTGCACAGGTGTCGGAAATCGCGTCTCATTCCCTACTCGATACATAATATTTACCACTTTTCCGCAACTAACTACGTACATACCTAAACACGCATGCATACATATACACGCTTACTACATGAATATCATCTACACTTACTACCTACATATGTATGTATGCACGTATACATCTACATACACGTATACGCTAAACTTTCGCACACATTTTACCATTCATTGCTTTTCGCTGCGCGCCATGTTTTATTATCAGACGCCGCGGCGTACAATACTAAATACCGTTATTCGCTGCCATATATGTATATATTTTTACAAAGTTTTAGGTGGCGTCGTCATTGTTTTTGTTGCCTACGCTGTCGCCGCCCTGCATTTCATGCAACTAAACTTCAGTGCCATCCTCACCCTCGTCATCGAACAGTTGGCTGGTACTGCCTTGGCCGCCACGTATCGCTGTTACCGACATCTTCTTCTTCGGTTTTGGTGGTGGACGTGGCGGTATTTTCGCCACCTTCGTGGGCTCACCACCCGTCGTCGACGTATTGGCGCTGTTGGATATATTGAGTGCACCGTTAACTGCGCCGCCACCACCAACGCCACCATTCATATTGATAGCGCTCGGCACTATGGTGAGACCGTTGTGATTTCGCGCTGTACCATAAAGCGGCTCCGTATCGGAGGTCGTTGTCAGTTGATGATGATTATGCGCCAGATCGTGTATGGGCTCGTAAATTTTCGATGCCGACGCCACTGCTGCCGCTGAAGTGCTCGGCAATACAGGCTTTTGTTTTGTGGGCGTTTGCTGCTGCTGTTGCACTTGTTGTTGTTGTTGTTGCTGCTGCTGCATAGCTGTCGACGCGCTAGACGAGGCGACCGACGTAAGGCTCGGCGTTGCCGGTAATGGCCGATCGCGCATTGTATAACGCGTGGAAGTTGAAGCGCCACCAGTGCCACTACTCGCCTCCGGATGTAATTTATGTAAGTTTAACGTGGAGTTGCCGGCAGCCGTTGTGCGCAGTCCAAGATTATCGTAGACCGGCTCCGCTTGCAGTTCCGCTGTTGTGGCGGTGCCAGATTCGCTGGGATTTGGCGATGTGGGCGATTGGAACTCGCTTAACTGTGTCGCGTTTGCGGTCGAGGTGGATGGCGCCCAACTGGGCACACGCGGTTTGCGTGGTATAGTCATATAGCCTTGTTTCATCACCACCGCTGTGGTGGGTGAGTACATAACAGGCGCGGGCATGAAGGGTGATTGCTGCTGATGGTGTACGCCATGTTGTGGCGGGAGGTGGGCGGCAACTGCATGCATATGTTGCTGTTGCTGTAGCTGTTGACGATTATTGGCGGCTGCAATGAGTGCCAAGTTGCGTGATTTCGGATGCTGCAAAGTCATGAAACCATTTGGAGTAGCGGCAGCGATGGTTGTGGTGCCGTAAATGCCATGCGGCGTCATATGCGCATACACCGGGCTGGTGAGTGGTGGTGAGCGTATGCCGTAGATGATTTGTTCCGGTATATTGCTGTGCGAGGATTGCATCGATGGTGAGGTGGGCGGCACTCGTGCGGGGAAGGCGAGCAAGTCTGGTGGCAGACTGGTGCCGTACGTGTCGTCGATGTATGTGTGGCGTACGCGTGGCGCGGTGGTATCCGACAGGGCGACCGAGTGGGTTTCATCGTCGCGCGGGTGATTGCCTGCAGTGTGAGAAATAGAAGAATGAGAAAAAAAAGAGAAAAGGAAACGAGTGAGTTAGGCGAAATAAATGGTGCATAAAATGGCGAGAGTAATTGAAAAACATGAGCAATTGTTTTCGCTTAGCTTACAAAAACAAAAAAAAAAAAACTCCATGAAAAATGTAGAAAATTCTTCTCTTCGCTCGCTCAATATAAACATCAAGGGAATAATAAAAATGGAGTTTTAAAACAATTAAAATGCATTGATTGTAGCGCGTGGAAATTTTTTCCAGCGCATATTAAGCTCAGAAATGCTTTTAATGGCGAAAAAATCACAATAGCAAAAACTAACCGACACAGCGAGTTCGGTAGAAGATTGGAATTTTTTGAGTGAGCATGAGTTAGTTGGTTTATTTCCATTGGTTTGAAGCCAAGCAGAGCGCACAACCCAAAAGCAATTAATCTCGCAGTTTTTCATGTGACCGCTGGCAATTGTGATTTGATTTTTTTTTTGTTTTTAGTTTTTTTTTTATGGGTGCAAAAAAAGTGCAGAAACTGCCAACGGATTTTACAACTATATTCTGTAAACTTTTATAAATGATCACACATAAAGGGTGATTTTTAAGAGCTATAAGAAAGTTAAAAAAAACACATTAAACTCCGAAAAATGATTGAAAACTTTTTTTTAATCGATAGTACTGTCCAAATAATTTATTGTTTGAAGATTATTTCATGCAATTGCTGGCCGTGACTGCGCCTTAATTGGTTCGTCCGCTTAGTCCCATTTTGGCATACTCTTTTCAACATTTTGGCCGGTATTTTACGAATAAATGCTACAATGATGTCCTCCAATGCGTCAATTGAAGCGGGCTTGTCTGTATAGACGCACAAGAAGAGAACATTGCCCCACTAAAAAAAGTCTAAGGGCGTTAAATGTTGACTGAACTCCATTGAAATCACAAGTCAAGCTCTGCATTTTGGGCAAAAACTGTGACTTTCTGGATGCATTGGTAGCTCTTGCAATGCTTCTGGCTGATCTTCACTCCAAAATCGACACTTCTGCTTATTTACGCGCCTATTAAGCCAGAAATGAGCTTCTTCGCTGTACACATTTTTTTTATGATTTTCTTAACAGAGCATGCATTTGCATCATTTGTAAGACGATTCATTATTAAATTATAGACCAAACTGAAGCTGTTTGACAGAGATTCAACTTACGAAACGTGCGTCAGCTGTTTAAACCGATGTTGCCTAAAAGATAATAGCTAAAAAAAAACACCCTATATATAATAAAACAAAAATAAACATTCACTGTTTTTTTATTCAAATTCATTTTTTATATTTTTGGCTATTGGACGCAAATCGTCGCCTTCCGACTGGCAATACGCACTGTTGACCACTCGGCTATTGGGGCCCGCCATTTGGGCATATCGTTCAAAAATTTAGCAAAAACAGACTTTGCGTACTTATAATTTAAAAAAAAAATGATCCAATTCCCGTAAAAAAGAAATATTTAAGGACAAATTTCTATTTACACCTAACTGAATTTCAGGTATATAAAACCCTTAAGCACGATATGTACTGAATTTCAAAAGAAACCGGTTCATAAATAAAATTTTTCAAAATAGGTTAGTTCTTGGTCCATTTTCTGGAAAGTCTACTTGTTAATATAGCAGAAAAAGCCACCTAAAGCCTGAACTTCAATAAGATTTTTTCGAGTGGTTCACTTGGCTTGGTCCATTTCCCTTCCTGAAAACCATAGAAAAAATCTGACAAGATTTCAATTTCTGATATATAGATTGATCGTAAAATAAGTAATTTGTATTATCTACTAAATTACAGACATCTACGTACACATACGAGAGGTGCTCAAAAAGTGTCGCGAATTTTGAATTTTCGCGGGTTACGTATAATCGAATTTCGATTTTTTTTGTGGCGTTATTGTAGTACTCATATCTGTCACTTATGCCGACAAGCTCGGTCATTTTGAATGTTCACTTGATTGTTGACAGCTGCTTTGCTTGCACGTATTTTGGATGGTCTTCGATTTTTACCTATTCAAAAAAATGGATCAAAGAACCTGTATCAAATTTTGTGTGAAAAACGAAAATAAGTGCGTGGATGCACTCCGAATGTTGACTGTGGCATACGGAGAAGCTACCTTGGACCGAAGCAACGTTTATCGGTGGTACAAAATGTTCTCAGAAGGCCGAGAAGATGTGAACGACAAAGAGCGTGCCAGACGCCCGAGCACTTCAGCAACAGATGAAAAAATTAATTGCAGGGGCGTGGTGCATCATCGAGTTCTTGCCACAGGGTAGAACGGTCAACAAGGAATATTACCTGTAAGTTATGCACAATTTGCGCTAAGCAATTCGCCAGAAACGCCCAGATTTGTGGAAGAACAATAATTGGCTTTTGCACCACGCCAACTGCTCACACATCGTTGCTTGTGCGCGACTTTTTGGCCAAAAACAACACACTAATGATACCGCAGCACCGTATTCTGTGATTTTTTCATGTTGCCTAAACTGAAGAGGCCCATGAAAGGACGACTTTACGCTACGATTAACGAGATAAAGACGGCATCGAGGGATAAATAAAAAAAAAGGATTTTTTGAATTGCTTCGAAGATTGGAAAAACCGTTGGCACAAGAGTATAATATCTCATGGGGATAACATTGAAAAGGACAAAATAGACATTCATGAATAAATAAATAATTTTTGGAAAAACACAAAATTCGCGATATTTTTTTAACACACCTCGTACGATGTATATGTAGAATTGTGTCTCTGTGCCCAGACCATCTAATTATTGATATTTCCAAAAAGCAAATATCTATTTTCTAATTAGCATTAGAACGAGCCTGGTTTATAAACAAATGGTAATGCTATTTTACACACAATGGCTTCGTTGCAAAAGTAGCAACAATAACAGTTATTGCTTCAGCAACGGAATACAAATACATTTACTTGGCATACATATGTAAATGTATGTATATTTATTACAGTTATCTAAATTTTGTGAAACATTATATGCATTATGCATTTATGCTTTGTGACCAGAAAGTTTCCGGAAATTGAAAATAAAACGAAACATTTTTGATCTTCTTTTTTATTTTGTCGCCTTCAAAACATGCTCTTCCTGAAGCGATACACATATGCCACCACTTCTTCCAATCATCGAAATATGCTTTGTGGGCGCTGTCCGGGGTTCAGTTCTTTCTGCGAATTCTCTTTTACGGCATCTTTCAAGTGGCGGTTGATCGGCGGTATTGATGGAGTTTTTGGTCGTAAAATCGCTTACAACTAGAGCTCGGTGTGATGGCGCAATGTAGTCATGAAAGTTTCCGGAAATTGTTGGCCCACAATTTCGGCCGCGTACGAGAGATTTTTTTGCGCAAACGCACTCAAATAATACTCTCTATTGACAGTCTGTTCATTGGTATGAATTAACGCTGAACCTAACCGCGAATATCGAAAAAAACGATGAACATCATCTAGGTTTTTGGACGACTTTGTCGCGGTTATTTCGGTTTGTTGGCTTGTTTGCATGTCGTATTCATAAACCTATGTCTTACCACCAGCTACAATGCGTTCCATGAATGTGGCATCGTAATTAGCACGTCTGAAGAGGCTTGCGCCCGATGGTATTTTTGCAAAAATTTAGCTATTTTGGAACAAGCCTAGCATTACGCGCCTCATGCTCAAATTTTCGGTCAAAATCAAATGAGCTCTTTCAGGGTCAATGTTCAGCTTATTTGCTTTCTTTCTCACACTACCATGACGATTTTCGAGCACGACTGCCTTTTTCTATGTTATCATCAGTGGTAGACTTCGAAAGATGACCTAGGCATGTCTTCGACGATTTCTCGATGCCATGGTTAAAGGCTTTGTATTTGTCGTCGACTTGAGGTTTTGATAAAATATATTCACCAAAAGCCTTTTCTAAAATTCGCAATCACTCTGCTTACGAAATTTGGTTCGAAAAACAAAAAAAAGACAAAATTTGATAAAAATTATTTGCTCAATATTTTTTTTTTGTAAAAATCGCACAGCTGTTGCAGGTCGTGCTTAGTTTTGACACAGTAAGAACAGTGCTGCCTAATTAGCAAAAAAAAAAAAAAAAAAAAAAAATGCTGAAAAATGTGCAGCCCAGACAGTTTAAATGACTATTTCCGAAAACTTTCTGGTCACAACATAGTATATACATTAACATGGTTATTATAATAGAAGTCCATATATATATGCAAAGGAGTTGGAGTAATATAATATTAATAATAACAAAATATGTACATATGTACATACGTTCCGAACACTTTGGGAAAATGTATGGAAAATTATAGCAACAGTAACAACTAACCAAATTATGGATATTTGCCCATTAAAGCATTGTTAGCGAATAACCTTCATATGTTTATTAGACAAAACCTTAAATATAGGTATTTATTGAAGAGAAATTTCTATTATAACCGTATGCCAGTATGTGACATACTCACATCATTAATTTACATATAAGTAATTGAGTGAGAGTCAATAAATGTATAAGTCAAATTATAGCTGAATGCAAAGTCTGTTTCAATTGAGTATATAAACTAATATAATCACATATAGTACATATATATAATATATTTGTTGTACCAACGAATGAATTGGAAATTTAATGCTCTTATACTATTGCAGTCATATGTCTTTGGGGGGCAATCGATATATTACTATGGCAATTCTTCTACTTATAAGCGTCTATAGGCAATTGCTTCCTTCAGACGCCACACTGCCCTACAACTATGACCGTTTTCGGATTTTAGTTTTATGGAGCTGTCTCAGACCTAATATTTTTTGCAAATATTGAAAAAATTACAACAGTTTGGACGGTAGAAGTTATAGCTGCTATTTCGCAAACCACCACGTTTACCCATCAGAATTCTTTTTCCAGACGCCTTTTGTCGCCCACAGCATGAGCCAATGGTTATCCTATTGAGCCGCTTTCACTTGTTGCTGTTTTTCACTTTTTCTCTTTT